AAATTTGCCGCCCTAGGCAACTGCCTACTTTGCCTGACGCTAAATCCGCCACTGGTCCGGTTGAATACAATACTACAAGTTATATTATGTCGAGTTCAACTAATTTTATTTATAAAATAAGTATATTACAAACTCAGCATAATAATAATATAGTCAATTTGGCTTAATTAATTGTGCACACGTGTGGTTTCTTCATATCTGACAAGGTTATATCTGGCTGAAAAGACGTATAACGAACCTACTTCATCTGTATAAATAAAATTAAGGGTCAAAAAGAAGCGAATAAAATGCTTATTTTTATTTCTCAAAATTGTTATATTAAAATACTTTACCTAAACATCTGCTTAACTCGATTAAAATCACAGTTTGAAATGATTTTTTTTATTCATATTATAATATGTTTTGTATGTATTGTTGTTTTTAATGGAAAATAATAAGATTGTCCGTGATTATCAATGTATATACGGTTAGGTATACAATGATAAACGGTACCGTTTTTTTTTTGCGAAACTAGCAAAAAAAGGGAGTGTCGGGGAGTGTGAAATGTCGAATATAAATTTAATACCAATCGAAAGTGTAGAATAAAATACATGTACATAGAACTATAGAAGTTCGTAAAATTGTCAGCATAAAGAACGTGTGGCCAGATGGGATCGTTATTGATGATGGCCTCGCGTTGACATAGAGCTGACGACAAGGTCTCCTGCGCTGAAGGATATCGCTGTATATACATACGACCTAATTGCGATTGTATCACCTGCACCTCCGAAGCCTCACGTCCAATCTCCCAGGGTATTTTATCGTTTTATTCGGGAGGTCATATAAATCATTTTTTTTTTATCGCGTCCGTCAACGTCCATACGTCCTACGGGAACTGTTTGACGCGATCCGAAAAGGCGTTTTAACGGGATCGTTATCTCGCCACCGGATGACCGACTTACGCGGATTCGGTGCCCACATATATCCGCCTCGGCGATCCACTGTATTTCTCGTACCCACGATCCAAATTATCAGCCAAAAACTGACGGACGTATTTTGTTGATGGGACCTATCTTTATAAGTACGTTATTCCGACATAACCAGACGGCGGGAAAAACATAATATTACACTTAAAAAACTATAAACTCGTTCATATCCAATTTCCATCCCCATCACAATCGACGGACACTGCAATTCAGTTTTATAAGGGTAAAAATATATTATATTATTTATGACAAAGAAAAACAACCGCTTTTTTATATTACATAAGCTACTAATTTCATTGTCGGATAACATAATATACCTATTGTGCTCGTTTTTCACGGTGTTGAATTATCAAAATATATTCTCGATTTCCCAAAGGGACATATGGGAGGGTGTACTGACAGGGGGATGGTATTTAGATTTAGCAAAAACAGCGAATACAGTTATGCAAAAAATATTATTATTTTAATCATTAATTAAAAAATATATAATATATAATAATAATAGATTCAGAAGTTTAACAACAACAAAAAATTTACTTTACAATACACTGTTATATGTATAGGAAATTCCTAAAAAATATATTGAATGCTATACGATAATAATATGCATTCGTCGTTATTGAACGAAAATAAATATTGAACTTTATGAAGGTAGAGTTCCCTTAGTTTGATTGAAAAATAACAATATTCATAGTGTGATAATTCTCCTATATCTCTATTATATTATATATAATATGGAATGTATCACTATAATATTTTATATATTATTGTATTTATATGTAATATTGTTACATATTTCAATTTTTGTAAAACATGGGTATTTAGGGAAAATAAATCAAATACAGTTTTAAATAGTACCTTCTATCAGATATTCAAACTATGTGTATCGATTTACTGATAATTATATTGAAAGTTATCACATCTGAGAGTAAAACAATTTTATAAAAAATATAGTTACATACTAATAAAATAATATTGTGGTCCATAAAAATGAACAAGAATATTTTTATTTACAGTGATGAGTTGTAATCCTCGTGACATAATTATTATACGTTTCATACATTTTAAAAATAACACACAAAGTGTAAATGTATTAAATAATTTATGATACTGCTAATCTGAGGACTTGGATCAACCGTTTTATGAAAGACTCAATGCATAATAATAATATTATCACTCATTGTAAACAACTACAATAGTTATTATATTAAGAACTAAGAAGTCCAATTAGAATTGAATGCCTCCAATATAGTTACAGTTATATTTTAATTTTAAAATGAAACTAATCTGTTTATATTTGATTGTAATCGTGAATCATAAATTTGATTTTAAATTAAAATGCAATAGCTGTACCTAAAATATTGATGTATATGTGTTACACGGCGCATTGTATAGGCAATTCATGGGTACTTCTGTATAGTTTATATTATCATAATAAAACTATAATAAACTTGGTCATATTTTATCATAAATATTATTATATAAAATTATAATAATTTTAATAATATGATCAAAATAATTATTTTTATAAAATTCCAAGCAAAGAAAATTGTATTTATTCATTTACGGTGCATACATCAAACGAAAAAAAAATAATAAATTATGGGACTGTACTAAATATACTACAAAAAACCTCGTATAAAATATATTTATATTATTTTAAATCATTGAACATTATAACATTATTACATCCCTTGAATAACTTAAACGTAATTCATTTTGATATTAAAAAGTCAATTTTTTTTAAAGTAACTTTAACAGTAACTAAAGTAAATTTTGGTTTGTATTTAATTGAAATTCGAGTTTATGATAGATAAAAACGTTTTCATTCTAAACACAATGTAAGAATACATTTAATAGGTATTTATGTTAAAGTGCATAGATAAGAAATAAATTTCTAAAACAAAACTTATTCAACTCATCGAATTATAAATTATAACGTCAATGACGATGATAATATTAAAACTAACAATACACTTTTATCATTAATGTACATTTATCACTTAAGGAAACCTAGACATACGTTATAAAAATAAAGTTTCACTATCGATTAATAAATTATGTTACATACATCTCCACATTTTTTGCCAACGTGTTTTAAAAGTTGTTTTATGGAAATATTTTTTTAGCTGTATACACACTCAGTCGTGGTACACTAACCATATTATATTATAAGCTCAAAGTAGAAAAAAAATGATTAAATATACATAAATGTTGTACACTCGGAATCGGGTATATTTTTAAATCAATCATCTAATAATGATCGAAATTACAAATGCATTTAATTTCAACGATTCAGAGTAATAATAAAAAAAACCTCACCAGAGCGGTCAAAGAAAGGCCATTAATTCCGAAATCGATTTTATAAAAATATGCATCCCGTTAGCTACAACATCGTTTATTAATAGCGATCAGATTTATATTTTACTCAGGGTAATTTTTATCGACTTATAGCCAGGAAATTCACCGAAAACCAACAGTTATACTACACCAACGATATTTAAACGTTCGGAATTTGTTATAAATATATTATGACCACGCGGGTAGTAATAATATATTACCATGTTTCTATACCTATATTCAGTGGCGTTATTTATGGTTTATTTCGAAAGGATGCAAACATGTAATCTATCATTAAAAAAATAGGAGGGTACATATTTTGTATCTCTCATCTACTAGGGTAAACTAATTTTAAAGGTGATAACTGTAATATTATGTATGCATTGATTTGTATATTAAGCGTCTTGACGTCAAACATATAAAAGTAAACCTTATACAGCAATTATAGGTAGATCATAATATTAAATTAACCTCTGTAATATTTATAATTATTCATTATAATTATAATAAAAATAATATAATACTATATGTATTGAGTATTAAACTATATAAAAAAAATTATTTAATATTTCAATAACATAACAAAGAAAAATGTATGCCAAAGTTTCAATATAGTAACATAACGCCGATCTCACTAACAGCCGACGTTGGATTTCACCCATAGGTCTTTTCGCATTTGTGTGATTAGTACATTTTTGATAAAGACAAATACCACCATTGTCCGCCGCTTCTATACAAACGACGCCACCAAGTGTAATATTCCAAAGTGTCAGATTTATTAAAATTATCATAATCCCTATATCGTACATAATTATTATAATAACAGTTGGACGGAGAGCTGGAAAAAAACGACGAATTAAATTCAAAAAATGGTTCGATCAGTGTCGCAGCTTGTGATGTGTAATTTCTACACACTCAGCTTCGTGTAAGGCAATCCTATAATAGTTGTATTATAATTTTATAATTAGGTGACAATAGCGGTGAGGTGCCTACAATAAATAACATGCGTTTGAAGTCTTTCTAAAATCTTCTACAGCGACGAATTCATGATAGTAATAATAATATAATATACATCACCAGTCGCTTCGTAATATTATTATTATACTCGTGAATCGTACCAGACGTTGTACTATTAGTTACACGCGCTGTACTAGGTACCTATTATTATTATTACCTATTTTATATACGTCGAACAGGGTCCAATTATATTGTATATTATAGTACACTGTTTCCTGCAGTCCGGACATGGGCGTGGAAGGTCTTTATAATACGAAATGATGCTCGAGACTTGGAGATGAAAACGAGTTGTCCCCCGCCGGCCAACCACCAGTCCGTGATGATAATAATAATAATAATAGTCATATAATTGCGGGGAGCAGAAAGACGCTGATATCAAAAATAACGAAGGTTTGCCCATTACCTAACCCTTCGAGAACCCCTGTTTGCGGCGAATGGGTGGGGGGGGGCAGAAAACAATACGCCACATTCATTGTACTGTCGCTCATTTCCTGCACCAACCTACGCGGTGCCCGGGTCATTAGTGCGAACGATATAATAACCGTCGGAAAAACGTGCTCGGTGGTGTATGTGGACCACAGATTTTTGCACCCCCCTCCCCCCCTTGGGTAATTTCGGAAATAGTACCCACTGGTCGGACCGGATAATCCGCAGGCTCTACCGGAAATACGGTACGCGCTATACGTTCTCACCTACGACGTATACGGTTATAACGTCGGGCGCGATCTGTCGGACGACCGCCGAGGCGTAGCCGCCGAACGTCACCAGCAGACGTCGCTGACGGTTACCAAATCCGAGTTCGAGGAAATTCGTTTTGAACGGTTTTCCGGAAACTCCGTAGGTATCCAAAGGTTTTGTTCCGTTTCCGAAATGTAATGTCACAACAGTCGCTCTATATGTCATTGTGCTTTGGCGGGCTGAGACCACCCGGTCTCTGGGTAATCAAATACTATTTATTGTTCTATATATTCTGTCGGCTGATGATGACCTTTGAATTCTAAATATTATACTATGATATTCTTGTTCCGAGATTCCAAAGTCATATATATTTACCCGCTACGTCAATTCCAGGAAAATAAATATGAAATCTGATTTCATAATAGGGTAGATGAATTTGATAGGTAAATAAGACGGGGAACTAAAATAAATAACCATTGGAATGGATTACTATTACACAATACATTGTCTAAAATAGATACATCATTATAATAAAATGTTATTCCTTATTGATCTAGTGTTATGAGAAAGGGTTTCATACAAAAATTGAAAACAATATAATGACATAATTACTTCAAATTTATATGAACTGAAACACTTAAAAGGTATTTTGTATTTGATATAAGCCACTGAGTGTAATAAATACAATATGTTTGCTTTTACTTTAAACATAAATGTTTAATGAATGTAATGCAATCGTTCGTATTTGTTTTCGTGCTACCAAACAACAAAGTCGATCAGTTTTTTCGCTGTATTGTCATTTCATCATAGTTATTTTTCAAGGGGTCAGATAATGTGTGTTTTTCATTACCTATACTATAGACCATACTCGTTGACATTTTATCGTACTGTTCAAATCACAAGAGATTTCATATTGACATTGAAACGTTATAAATAAAGCGTGATGAATAAAGGTTGGGATGATAACAGTTGGGAATACGTATTTGTTAATATAAGTTATATCTATTAGCTACCTACCTATGTTATTATATCATACAGAATTACAGAACAAAATTGACTTATGGTAATAATTGGTCACCATGCGTGAATGTAGATTTCCACTTATTTTTTTACCACATTAATACATTATAGAATACATCGTAGTGTCATCTTGTATGTCTTATAGTTTTAATTTAATATTCCTAAAGTACAGTAATCGAATATTGAAGTAAATGTATTTGTAAACTTAAAATTATTGATAAGTAACATTTTCCCTTGGTTCGTTATATTTTATACTAAAAAGAAAATTTAAAATGAAAATGACCATATAGAAAAAAACAATATTTTTCTACATTATAATATTATGACCTAACCTAACCTAACCTAATATTATTTAGTATTATTATCATCATGCTAAAATACAATAATTTAATTATTTTAATGAATCAAACGCCACATAAAAATTAATACCTTCTTAGTTACTTTACAAGTCTTCAAACAATTATTATTCGTATTAAGTACAACTGTAAAATCCATTATAATATTAACACTTTAATATATTTTTATCCGCCATTTCATGTATTATATTTTCAGGTACAATAAATTGTATATTATAATAAGACGACTAGGCACAATATTATATAACTAGGTAAACTATATCTGTGTGAATGTAGCATTATTGGTACAATTGGATATTTGTCACAACGTATTAATTAAAAGCTGATATTTATTTCATTTGTTTATGTTTTTTGTACTACCTACTTTTTGCCATGTTTTTAATCATACCCATAGCATCAAAAAAAAAAAAAATCTGAAAATTAGCAAAATGCACGATGTGTGTGTGTTACAGTTGTGATGGTGAAATAAATCTGTAGAGTAGGACGCTGCCACAGTCACAAATCGCCAATAGAAAATGAATTATGGCGTATCCGAGGCTTCGTCATTACAGGTCCCGATCATCATTCACATCTCCATTTTTATTTTTATTTTATTTTGATTGTATATTTTATTTATATTTTCGTCTAGACGTTAACGTTTCCAGACGGTGAACGATACTGTTTTGAATTTTACTGTTTATATTGATTTATTATTTTTTCACAAAGAACAAGGGCGGAAACTGATCATGATATGATAATATTACATCTCCTAATAATGATACAATTATAATGATATTTTCGTATGTATATATATATATATATACATATTTATATATACAAATATATATATATTGGTTCAACTGTACAACGTTGTTTGCGCGTGCCACATGATAATATATCAACGACCTCTCTCCGGCAGCGTTTAATTTGTTTTTTTCCACGCAAATACTTTCATTATAATAATACGTGGCCCCCAAACGAAAATAATAATGTATTCTACTAACGTAGTCGTTTTGCTGTTAACTGTATCGAGCCCAGAAATAAAGAGAAAATTTCGAATAGAAAAAAATGTGCAAACGGCTAGGGTCGGAGCCAGTGCACATTCAAAACATATTTATATTTATATTTATATCTATACATTTTTAATTATCAAAAAAATAAAATTCAAATTATATACGTAACGATGCAAATTCCGGTTATTTCATACGAGTTGTGTGTAATATTTTTTTTTTTATCATTCCATATTTTAAACGTATTCATCCACTCGTTTAATATTATTATCATCTCAATCCACAGCTTTTGTAGTGGCAATAATTGCAGTAATAAAAATGAACTATTGATATTGATACAAAGCGGACATGACATTGTATAGCTGTCAAGTGATTCATAAATATATTTACCTATAATCCGGAAAAATAAATAAACCCATGTCATTATAAAAACTTACTTTGAAAAAAAACAAAATATAATTTTTTTTTAATTTGTTTATCTCTCCCGCTTATTAGATTCCCAAGAGTGTTAAGTATATTACAGGATTTAAAACGTTTAATTAAAAATAAACTTAGCATGATAGAGAATGAAAGTTTAAAAACAATAAACTAAAATATAGCGATAACACGTAACTAATTAAAAATAAGAATAAAAAAAAGATTGTCAAGGTTGAGTAATTTGCCAAAGCATGCTTACCTATTTTTCCATTATTAATTACTTAATTCAAATTCTGATGTTTAATTTTTTAAGTACTTATACATGATAACCAGATTTCCAATACCCACTAGATTTGTATACCATTTAAGGAAAGTCCAGTAGCGTAACCAACTTTCCAAATAAAAAACACACTATTTCTGTAAATTGTGAAGCAGTTGATTATTTCAAAATATTTATTTAACCACGCCAAAATTCAAACGAATAGATTTTTGGTAATTTAACTTTTTATACTAAGGATATTTATAGATCCACGATTATAGGTTTGGATTATAGGTTTGGCTATAATGATTAGAAACTTATAGTAATTATTAATAATCTATCAACAATTATAATACTTGTAAAAATTGTCTAAGTATAATTAATAGGTACTAGATCCAATATCAAATATTTATATCTATTTTATATTTTTGTGAATCCATTTTTAAAGAGTATTATCCATAGTACATTTTAATAACTCGTAATAATATACTCGTAAACTTTTTTATTTAGATCTTAAAAACATTTAAAAAAAAAAATCATCTGCCTAATAATTTTTATATTGCCAAGAGAAACCAATCTAACAGTATGAAAAAGAAAAATAACTCAAAATTTGGTTTAAGTAGGTATACAAAAATCAGAATTTGAATGAGTTCATTGTCGAAGGAATTTGTAAATTAGGGTGAAGCATGCTCGGTGAATCTGCCTTTATTTTCCGGATTATGGTCTAAGATCAAATACGAATACGCTGAATGGTATAATACAGCATAACCAGCGGGGAATATACATTTGATGTGTTTTCTCCGACCTCAGTCACAAAATTCTATACCATTTGGTCACGGGGTCATGGTTCATATGAACACAAATATCTTCCTATATTATAACTTATGCGTTAGAGACAAAAACATATTCCACTTTCATATATTGAAGCTTCGAAATATGGTTTGAACTTTTGCATTTACTTCAAGGAAGGACGAACAACTCTGATCAACGGCAACATAAATATTTAATTTCATTATTAATATTATTATAAGTTGTATCAAATTGTATAATATAAACTATATGAAAATTACACGTCTCATAATAATTATATGAATGAAAAGATAAAATTACTACTGAGTGTTACAAAGAGTACCTACATAATTAAATCCCATACCAAAGTCTAATAATAATAATATGTTTCTTTTTTTCCAATTAAAAGTTATAAAAAACATAATGTCCATAGTTAGAAATTGTTTAAATGTATATTATACTCTCATTGTTGTAATCTGCAGTATACCTTCCCAAAGAGATATTTTCAAGTCTTGTTTTGATTTTAAAAACTCATTCGTGAAAACGCAGTCCTAGAACCAATATCGTAACGTAGATATTTTTTGTTAAATGTAAGCATATTATTGTTCAATAAAATCACGGGTGTACTCGAATTTTCGACCTATAATATTACAACCCGAGAAATTGTTCGATATACTGAGCAAATTGAATTTATACGAGCCATAAAAATATTAATTAATGTTAAAAGGAATAATAATATTATATGCGTAATATTTAGGGTCGTGGGGGCTTCATTAACTCGTCCCTTCTATAACTCAACCGACTCTCAGACGACGCTATAATGTCTAAGAGAATATAATTCGAACAATATAATGTACCTAATATCATTACAAATTCAGTTTGATATATTATTATGTTCTCTACCGTCGACCGAGTATTGCGTTGAACACACGACTGCACTGGATCGCAGACGCAAAATAATATATAATAACTATTTGTTTTGTTTCAAAGACCATGTCAACACAGATAACCGTTGTTAATCAAATGTATCACGGATGCTGTTTTTTCTATTGAAACCAACTATATCACTTTTTTTTTTACATTTTCCGTTTTACTCTCATTAATATAATCCTCGGTTTAATGTGTGCGCAGACTGCACAGTGCACACTTTGTAAAAAAACTCTTTATACCTACAAAGTTTGATTTATTTACAAATATTATTTCGATAATAAATTATAAATTGCAGATAAAATGCACAACATAAAAGCACAAAACGTATATTTTTTTTTTTTTGTACACATTTTAAACTAAAAAAAAACTTTAACTTAAACTTTAATCAATAACAATATTATATTATCTCGTATGGTTGAATTGTACGTTTCGTCGAACAGTTCTTGCACACACCTATAGCTATTTGTATGTACCATCGATACAAAGTCGTGAAAACTATACCGTCCCATTTCAAAGATAAATTAATTTTATAATAATTTATTGCGAGAGACAGCGGAGATAACTTGGAAGTTCGTTTTTTAGAAATAAATTAATATAAGTCACTTAGCGCAGTTTAACGCCAGCGATATACGCGACGTAATTTTGAAAGCGCCTAACACCCGGTTGATGGCAATTTTTATAAAATAAAAAAATTGAAACTGATATCCGTCAATTATACGAATTTTCACCGAATCGGATAACAATTGGATTCCGATAACCATTATTGACGTGCCTCACTACGGCCATATGAATATCCGAAAGTTTTTCCGACGGTATTCTACGCAAGCGTGGTTAGTTTTCCGTCCCTGTTTGCATGTACCTATAAGTTTAATAACTATATATGCGTCTTAACTGATATACTAACTATATACAAAGTTTATTATAACATCAATATATCATTACCAGTTTACCACTTTGTTGCATCGTACGAACTGATAATATTATTGATTTTCTTCACGTATTTTCTACACATGTATTTTTATAATATTATTTATAATATTATACACATTAACCTAAAACATTATTACTATGCACGGGTCACGCTCGCAAGATATAAATAAATTATTCGTTAGAGTGGTTTATTGAATTTTTCATCGCACCGGTAAAATGTATATACCTATACTATAAATTATAAATTGTAAGATATACATTATACATTTTATATTTCTTTACGGAGTGATCCATATTTAAATGGCCACTCTCCAATACTTCTCTAATTAATAAATTGTTGTATTTTTGAAAACGAAATTTGTATGCGTTTTGAAGTATGTTTTATAAGAATGTAGTGTACACTTAGTTACTTTCAACCACTGTAGATTATAATCTACAGTGCTTTAAACTGTATATATACTTATATACTTAAAATACAAAAATTTACTAAACAGACTATTATTAGTGTAGTCATTTAAATGGATCACCCTGTAAACGTTGTTTGTTTTTTTATACATGTGTTTATAGTATTTGATTGTTTTTTCGATATTAAATCATAATTGTTTGTTCCGTTGATAAATTTGTTTACAGTCATATTTGAATATGATACATACCTATACTACTATACGATTGTCAATCGAAATTCGAAATTTTATGAATTTGCTGTTACGTATAACATGCATTTTACTAATCGTTATTGGCAATGTTTTCGATAAGTATTAGTATATATTATAATATGGTAAACGATCGTCTGTACATTTATTTTCCATAATGAGGGTTCTTTAAACAATATTGTACTTCATAATATAGGAGAGACGCTAGCACAGTAACACCAATTTAAATATTTTTATAAATATAGCACACATTTCCAAAACTAAAATCTGTGGAAAATTATTTAGATTATTTGATTTAAGGTTTGAAATCATTATTTTTCATTGAGTGAATTGACTTAGTGCACGATTGATTTTGCTATTTATTATTACCTAGTTATAACGATTTAGCTTGTTATATTAGTTGCTTTTTTTTTTAATTTAGTCGATATCGTTTTAGATAATTAGTTGATTACTTTCAATTGTTAAATGTTAGTATAATATAAACTATTACGGTGAATAATGTTGTGTGAAAAAATATCGTAATGTAATATATGTATGACGATTATAATGTCAATAATCTTTTACAGTATATTATTTATCAGTAAATGTTGATGAATAATTTCTATTGTAATTTGATTTATTTGAGGGCAATTTATATTAATATGTGATTTAAGTGTAGACAGATTTTATATTGCAACTCAAATTGTAATTTCTTTTTAAAATTCTTATTCAATACCCATTTTTTTATAGGTACTGCCCACAAACTAAGCTTTGTTTTTGTAGTTTGTTCTATGAAACAATTCTTCGACGGTGTCAACGGAATACATGTACATTTAAATTACGATATTTTCTCATAAATTATGCAATTTTTTTTAACCGTGGTATGATAATACACAGTGTATAATATTTATACATAAATCGAATACGAGTTTGTTTATTCCGGGAGCTTTTATTTGGCGTTTACGTTGGGATCCGTATTTTTATCGCTTAGTATTCTACTAGAACTCTTGTCGCCATCGGACCACGTACAGAAAAATAAAACCGATCACAAAACGTACACGCTGCAAAAACACATTTTCTACCACTTGAAAAAAAATTACATGAAAACCCTTATAGGTAGAACTATTGATATGGAGGGGAAAGTGCTGGAAATGTTCACTTAAAATATAATGACTATTGCAGGGGTCTTCCACCCACGGCTTGGCTTGTCTTTGTTTGATGCCCACGAACACGTTTTATGCATAGCATGTATTTTTCGATACATTTTTAATCATTTAATACTTATTTTTGTTACGAATTCGGCCCATGAAATTTTTAATAATATAATAGGTTGCCCGCTACCTAAAAAGGTTGAAGACCCCCGGATTATTGATTGAATGTAATACTTTTTTTCAAAGTCCTAAAGTTCTCGTCCATATTGTGTTTTTCCGTGGAATACGGATTCAAGTGAATGCGTTCAAACATTTTTGATGAAAGATTTAAATGGACACTTAAGTTTGTTCCTTTCATGCTTATTACAATATATTGAAAAATAGTATGTGCAACAATTGAAAATAACTTTACCCAACATACCTATACCTATTAAAAATTCGGGCCCATGTAAACTCCGCCACGAGAACCTTTTTTTAGTGTAAACTCCGCCAGGAAAATAAAACAGGTAAAATTGGATTCATATAAACTTCTCTAGTGATTAATATCAGGTAAAAATGAGTTGATGTAAACTCCGCCAGTGAAAAAAATCAAATAATAGTATACACTATACAATTAATTTAATATACAGATTATAATTAAACAAAAAACCATAACTTAATAATAGTAATTATCCTTATTAAATAAGTTTATGCCAAAAAATATAAAAAAAACTTAGAAATAAAAATAATAATTGTTCGAACAAATCATACAAATTGCAATGGCCAGTATTATGTTAAAAAATAATGATAGGCAATTAGCACAATTGTAATAACTAATTATATGTAGACACCTATATTATATTATTATGACATTATATGATATTATAATACTTATAATATTTTGAACTGTGAACTAAAATTATGAGATATAATTTGTTGATATTCAAACCATTAAGTCTAATATAAATTATTATAACTATTTAGTATTTATAGCTTTTTCTAAAACAATATTTTTTTTTCAATTTGAATTTTTGAGTTTAATTAGTAGGGAAGTATCATTTAGTCTTACATAATACTGTTGGAGTTTCCATATGCCCATGACAGGTAAGAAAATAAAACTGGCGGAGCTTATATTAGACCTTTTCATTGCTTTTTTATTTAACCGTTATTCTGGCGGAGTTTACAATCGCCCAAAAATTCATCAGACAGTTTCGTTGAAAACAGACGGTGTGAACCAACCGTTTTTTTTTTTTGGAAATTTTTAGAAATTACATTAAATACCTATTTCGTTAAGGATATCACGTATAACAGTAGAACCGCACTTATATTATTATCTCTACACCCTAGCGCCCAGGAATAAACAAACAATATTCGCCCGCCGTGACCAGTGATAGCAACACTGATTCACCAACAAATAAAACGGCATTATTATACTATAAACAATCATAAGTGTTGTGTGCTCGCACACGCCTATAATTATTGTTCATTCCAGGACGATGACGGCCATATGTTTCGTGTGCAACCTGCCGATTCTCAGCCACCAGGTGGGACTGGTGTGGCAGGGCGGCAACGGTTGGGACGACATACTGCGAGAGCAGATGGAGGAGACTACGATCAAACAGCGGTTGGGCGGTCGCCGGGACTCGGCAGCGCAGATCACCACCGAGTCGCCGCCGACGGAGACCGCGGAGACGTCGCCGCCGGTCAGCCGACGCCGGAGGCGCAGCTCGCTCGCCCAGCTCACCGACATATTGCGCGAGTGGAGCGGCACCGGCATGGGTGGAGGTGGCGTTGGAGGTGGAGGTGGGGCGGGTGGCGACGGAGGTGGAGGCGTCGGCGGAGGTGGCGGTGGTGGAGGTAAGTCGGGTGGCCGGCCAAAAGGCATCACCAGGCGCGAGACGCTGGCCGACATCGCCAAGACACTGCCGTTTGGTCGGTCCAACACGATCACGTCGTCCCGGAAGCGGCGCGAGTCGTCCGTCGACTCGGGTATCAAGTCTTCGTCTAGCAAGGGCGGCCGCCGGGACTCCAAGACCGACTTCCGGGCCGACATCGCCAAACTGCTCAACACCCGCCGCGACTCCATCATAACGCCCACTAGCGTTTCGCAGCAGCCCAGACGCAGAGGATCCGGAGAGTAATTATATTCATTTATGTTATTATTATTACCATAACCATTATTACTGCAAACCTGCGTCGTTGTTGTTGTAAATAGTTATACAGCTGCAATACGATTCAGTAATCAGTGTAGGTTAGATACTTCGAGGATTGTTTCCCCCCTAATTTTTGATCCTGTGAGCATCCGTCCTGCGATCAGATCTCCAAAACCAAGGGCGTCATCCAGTAAAGCTTTTTATTTCTTCACACATATACCATGTAAAAATATGATCATAGAAAATCACATTTTTTGATAGGACAGTTATATTTATATTTTTAAATTTCAGTTGTTATAATTGTAAATTGTATAGAATACGGTCCTGGCCGAAAAAGGTAGGTAAGTAGGTTTCGGCTGAAAACGAAAGATACAGTTTAGCCAAAAACGGGGATGCTCAAAACCACAATCCGCTGCTCTTATTCCGTATCAGTTTCCTGCCGAAGTATTCAGGGAATTTAGGTTTTATTTTGCTTCCTCCTCAAGTGTGTCTACGAGTACATTCTATCTACATGAATATATTTTACAGGAGCATAACATCATGATTTACAGCATAATCGAACGCGTCATCTCCACTAAATCGTATATACTTTCGTTTCAAATGTATTCCATTTCTTAGGGATGTATACGCCAAGTAATTTCCATAAATTGATAAATTCAGATTTATTTTTGAAAATTATAATTGGTATCAAAAAACCTATAATGTATTTAGAATCGTTAAGTATGTAACCTATTTTGAAAACTTGATATGTCAGAAAAAAAGTAGACAACATAATACGTATAGGCCATGGACGTATATGCGGTGAATATTATACATAGGTGCATATTATAATAAAACAAATAATAATTAATAATTATATTCAAACACAGATAATGATGTGTATTTTGTAATATCAAATCATACGTTTTAAATTTTAATACCTATCTGCGATAAGAATAATACAAACTGATATCATAATTGAGGAGAGTTTAAGTGATATAAATTAAAAACATTTAATAAATAATTATAGCAGAAATTATACATTGAACCTATAATATTATGTATTTTACTGATAATATGGAAATTTCATAAATATGCCACTGCAGGACCGATGTATACATTAAATACTGTAGTTAAACAAAGTGTCTAAAAAGTTTAGTAAAGCAAAATTTGCGTTGTAGTTTCGATAATTATATTATAATAAGCTATCATATTATGTTGATTAAAGATTAATTAAATGTGCATATTTATCATAATAGTAAATTACTTTTATTGGTTATAAAATAATATGTAATGTTCAGTTATTGTTCAGCCAACTTTCCAGACACATAATATTATATTCTATGTACCCTTGTGATCCGTTTTCTTTATATCTCTGAGAATGTTCTCGAATAATATACTATCACGATCCATTAATACATCAGTCGTATTTTGACGAACAAACATTGCCTATTGTTAATTCAAAACAAAGCTTTCTGGTGAAACGGTTTTCATCAAATCTCATAAAATTCTGTGTATGGTGACACACAATTCATGCAACACATTATATTGTGTATATATGTGTATAAAATCTGATAGGCTGTATTCCTACAAACTAATAACGTTTATCTTTTTCGTATACGACATTTAATTTACTTGCAAGTTTTCTTTGACGTTTTGATGTACTATATGTAGTTAATATTACCTAAACATATAACTTATATATTATAATATTTAATACAATACAACAATATTAATTATTTATGATATTTATTTAATTTTAAAACGTACTGAATTAGCTATAAAATAAAATAAATATAAATGACTCTAAAAATATATTTTATTTATGTGCTGTTTTATATTTTTAAGTGCAGTCATTTGAGAGTTCTCTAATCTAAATTCTTTCTCATTACTTCTTTTTGAAACTTGACGTACCTTATGGAATATAATACTGAAACCAAGACCCAAAATATTAATCTTATTATAAAATAGCCAACTTGCACATATATACTATTGCCTGAACATTTTTCGAATCGTTTGAATTCAAGCGAAGATAATATTGTTTTATGCATTATTTTCAATAATAATAATATAAATTATTTTTATAACACGGCGACCTGGATAGGCAATCTAGCTACACCAAGGTCGTACATCTTTATTTTTGTATTCGATTGCACTTTCGCCACCAGGTTGCTGACCTATAATTTACAAAATGAAATAAATTTGATATACATAATATATATAATTTAACATAAAAAAAAACCGTATAGTTGAACCTAGGCGGTGTGGATGTAGTACAAATGATCACTTAAAACTCGGGTGGTCATCCATCCGGGAGCTAGAGACGCCGGACAATTCTCGACAGCAGCACGCATTAGTGACTGCGGCTAACCACAGCATCACCCCCAGCCCCCAATCTTAATTATATTCACCTGTTTAATAGGTCAAGATTAACGGTATCACGTACCACGGTATCTCACAATGGTATTAAATTATAATATTTCATGCATTGATAAAGTATCAATCAATTTCGCTAAAAGAGATTTTCGATTCGATATCACAACCATTAAAACCCGTTGCACCACTTCTGCAACAGTCCATGCAATATTATCTTGGGATGATCTCGTCCACCGTTTTAAAGTAAAATACTATAATAATTCTATAGCCACGCAAAACCTCATTGAAACGATTTCTAAGTTCTAATGTTTTATCTAATATTCTACATTCCTACCATAATTTTATGAAACCTATTTTTCTCAATCACTAACATAAAAAAAAATGTTTCAACCCAATAGCAAGTCTTAATTTTGAAGTTTATAATACGTCGTTATTTTTTAACTAATTCTTATTTGACTTTTATATCACGTCTGAAAACTGTAATTAAAACTTTTTTTCAATTTCAATATCATATTACGCTTTAGCCCTTTTCCGATAGAAACTCGCAAAATAAATTAAACGAAAAAGTTTTACGAATTCAGTTTGCCAAAGCATAATAATTATAAATGCGCACCTACGCCTTACACCAACTAAATTTATCGACTCTTTTTTCATTTTAAAATATTTATTTTACTGAAAACCAATATTCTATACATAATATATATTATATAACAGATATTGACTATGGTTTTGAATGGTTTTTGTAGTTATATATTATATTACCTGAAATATTCTATATCCCCATCTTCGGTTATTACACCAGTAAAAATCCCTTTTTCGGAATTGTTATTTTATCAGCATAATCCAATTCTATCTGTGACACCTTAATACCATGGTGTTTTCAGTTATTTTATTTGTTTACAAGGCCAGCAAGTAGTCTTCACAGACATATTATTCTAATATTATCAATACCCGAGTGTGTAACCGTACTGTACTTTGCGATGAACCCGTTCTGTGCTGTTTATAATGCAATAATTTATAAGCTCCTTAAAGTTTTATGACCAGACAATCATAATTATTTTGCAGTATTCTGATTTCCTATTATTCTGGTCTCACAAACTCGGCTTATTGTTTGTTTCCTTTCATACGATAATAATACACTTAAAGTCCTCTTTCATTTTGTCATTATTTAATATTGTCTACTTGTATTAAATAATATCGATATATATTTCATGTCAAGTTTTTTCTTCTAATTTTTTTTCCCCCGTTGTAGATTTTTTATAGTTCTTATACAATATTATAAAAGTTACGTCGGTCGATTTCTTTACGTTTTAATTACTTTTATTTTTAATTTTACGATCATTTAAAATAGGGTTTCATCTGCACTGGTTACGCTTTTGTTGAATATGTCCAACAATTTCTTCAACAACCATTCAGATCCCATCAATATTGTCAGGAACATTTCTTATTCTAATGGAAAATGACGAGTAACTTATTGCAATGGCATAATTTTTTTTTTTTTATTGTCGCATCAATAATTTTCAAGTTGGAAAATCATATTCAAAACTAGACGGATTTCATTTTAATTTAATAAGTTCATTATGCGAATAAAGTCATTCAGGTATTTTATTCTCAGAAAAATATCCTTAACTTTAAAGTTGTTATTTTAAATATCGAACAGTTTTACACAACTAAAAAAGTACCTAGCTTTCAACTGGAATATAATATGCTAGTTGGTTTAATTCACTAAGCAGTCTTACTCCTATTTTAAAAAGCATAGTCAAATACATTTAAATATCAAATAGATAGATTCAGTAATTTTAAGTTGGTTAATTGCACTAAACGTTTTATCCAAATGTTGATGCTACACAATTATCAATACAAATCCAAATTGCTTATCCCCAAAGACCATTGATTATGAAAGTAAACTTAAACTTAATTTTATATTTCAAATTTTACTTTTCGTACGTCTTAAAATTATTCCAAGTTTTAAATTCATTTAGCCATCAACTATGTTAAATTATTTCACCTAAGGCTCTGTGATTGAAAATTCGTATAATAGTATTTAAATTTCAGATAATATTTTATCAACTCGTATAAAATATCCACGATTTAATTTAAAGTAACTTTTAATGTTCATTTGAAGTCAAAAAAAGTTCATGCACCAAAGTGCTGGATGAATCCGAATGGGAATTAATTATAATACTACATTCTAACCATAAAAGAATCCATTTTTATTTCAAGGAACTCTTACATTTGTAAATACGTTAGTGAATGAATTAATGGGCATTACTATATTTCATATTCCTTTTCAAATTTCCATTTGTTGACTTCTTATTTATTGATGTCAAACTGCTAATAATAACATAAGTACATAATATTAAGGACACAACTGCTTGTTTTTATTTTTTTTGAATATTTATTACCTTCATAATATTATTTTCGAAACGCATAAAAAAAATAAGATGGATACTAAGAACCAATAATTATATTACTGCCTATAATATTATAATATAATGTAAATTATAAATATAATAAAATAATACAACTTAATGTCATGAATGAGTAATAGGTGAATAGTAAAATTAAATTTTACCACAGATACTGAAATTTTTTCTTTGTCTTAAAGTATTATAATACAATATAATAGGTATCATAAAATATTATTTCAACAAGAAGCCTAAACTTTGAATAAATTAACTAAACCGGTTTACAATTATCCCACATTATCCCGCGCCGGGATAATGAACCATGTAAATGATATGGTCCAAACATTCCGGTGCATTATTTTTCACACCGGTTTAGTCTAGCGAATTTGTAATAAGCCTATAGGTTATAATCTTATATAGCCACTATTCACTAATATTATGACATTTAATCTGCTGGGACATTATCTTTTCTGTGATATTGCAGATAATCATAATAATGTTATCCTACTGTTTGTTTTAGTTCGTTTCTATGCTATTTGTGTGACATATTTTCAAGTTTTCAAAAAAAAAGTAAAAGATTCACTAATAGTAAAATAATTTCAATAAAAACTAAGGCACTTTAGTTGTAAATGTAGACCGAAGAGACCCAGTTTTTAGCCTAACTGTATAATATTTTATACACAGGAAATTTAATGCGAGTATCTTACTACATAGTAAATACGAATTTTAACATAACGTTTTGAAGTAATTTCAATGCACTTTAACGGTTACCTATCTTGACATCTGGTCTAATCACAAAAATCTATTATGTTTGATGAAAAATATTATCAATTTTAGTATTTCATCAAATTAAGGCTTTCGTCATATCGTGATATCGGTTCATGTGATCATTCTAAGATTTCGGTATTGACTTTTTAAAAATCATTCACGGTTTGGTAAAACTACTGTAGTCAGTCGGTTATAATACCATTCATCATAACCATATAAACCAGTAGAATTTTCCCCGATTTTTCACACCGTAATTGGTTCGAGGAGTGACGTAAGTGTTTTTAATTTCTAAGCCGACTCGCATTTTATTACGTTTCTAGCGTTGGCCATTCAGACGGCGATTGCGGACGTCGCGGGTCCAAGGACGACGGCCGTGCGTTCCGACAGCACCGCACGTGCCACAAGCGCAGGGACTCGCAGGCAATCGTCGTGCCGGGCCAGTCCACGTCCTCCAACGGGTCGACGGGTGGCTACGGTGGCGGTGACGGTCCCGTGAAGACGGTGGACGACCAGACCATGACGCCGCCGACGATGGTCATCAGCAGCGTAACGCCCCCTCCCACTTCGCCGCGCGTCCCACTGTCGCCCACGCAGCACCAAAACGCGCCGTCGTCGTCCGTGTCGTCCGGCCCCACGTCCACCTCCAACGCCGCTAACGCCGCCTCCATCACCTCCGCTGCCCACACGTCCGTGGTGCCCACCCAGCACAGCGTGTCTTGCGGTTACACGCCACCGGTGTCGGTGCCCAGCTCGCCGGTGTCTGCGGTGCCGCCGACGCAGTTGTGTGCCAGCAACGTGACGCACGCACCCGCCGTGTCCCGGAGAGACTCCACCACGCAAGTGAGTGACCAACACACCTCTCACCAGAGACACGACCCCCCCACCCTTTAATATTGAATTGAAAAGATTGACATAATTTAACTCACTGAAGTCATATCGATATAAGATATTATAAGTAGTGATAAACTAACGGTGCACTAACGATTTTTTTTTTTTCGTACCAAAATAGGTGTATTCCTCGAGGGCACGACGGAATTCCAAATCTCACGTGTCGCCCGAACGAAGGCATAGCAAGGACGGCATATCAGTGGGGAACAAGTTGCCCAGACTTCAGCGGCAATCGACGGCCATCGACGAGACTTGCATGCCGTCGAGCCTGCAGTGTGGCCGGCGGAGTTCGCAACCAACACTGTCCGCGGATCAGGACTACACGGACCGGAAGACTAGGCGTGACTCGCTGTCGCCTGACTCTGCGCACTACGCCCGGCGCAGAGACTCCAGAGTCAGCGTAAGTACAACGTGCCATGCATTTTTTTTTTCGAGACGTATACCTTTAAAAGGCCATCGGGTGTTAAAAATATGCGACCATTTCACAGTACCTTATGCCTTTTGATTCATTTTTCCACAAAATCGAATCTCTTTTTCTATTTTAACCGACGACGTGGGAAGCTCTGTTTAACCAATTCATCATTATAAAAAAAAAAATAATAATAACTTCACCTTAGGTTTCCTCTCCACCACTAACATTAGAGGAAACAGTTAATTTATACACTTGGGTAACGATTAATTCTTGCCCTAAATCAACTCTATCGCATCTCTTCTAGGCAATTTGTGTAACCTAACATAAAATAGTTTGTACTTCAAACGTCCCAATATTACTCCCAAAAGTTGTTTCTCGGAGCGAAACGCATATGTCTGTGCATCAACTACACTGAATGGCCGTATACTTGACACTTGTGCATAATATAATATATTGTATCTGTGAATTTAAAATAAAACGTTTTTCGTATGTGTGCGTTCACAGGGTGGTCTGTCACCGGACAGGCAGGGCAGGGACGTATCTCCTGGCAGACAGAGACGCCGTAGGAGCTACAGACGCCAGAGCACCACGATGGGCGGTTACAACGTACGCAGCTGCCAGTCTTCCAGGTCACCTGATTCATCGTCCTCGTGCTCGTCCCGAGAACCCTCACCGGCAGGCAGGGCAGTGGCACCTGCGACTTCTCAGCGAACGCCGATCATCCGGAGACAGTCCACTACCGAAGAGATATTGATTGCCAGGGGCTTCCGGAGACAAGTGCGTGTTTCCGGTCACTGTGGACTTACACCACCCTGATTATACATCATATTCCATTGTACCGTTGTTGATTTTTGCCACGGACTGAGATTTTTATAATTAAATGGATATCGATAATTACATGGATAGTAGAAATACTGAGATTCGCTAACACCTCTTTCTATCCTTAAATATTTTTTGTCTTCCATTTCGAATCGTATATAACTGAAATATCAAAGCACCTGATGGTGAATGGATCACATTTTATAAATCAAAGACACTCATTAAAGTAAAAAAATGCTGAAAATAGGTGCAATTTTGAAATACATTTGTCAATTTTTCATTCATATTTTGCAAACTGTGTGGAATAATAAATTACACAATTATTGTATACCGCTATAAATTATATTGTTAAACATTGTTTGGTAATAGTTTCTCGTTAAAAAAATATAAAATAGCGTTATAAAATACATCGTTAAACCTAATCGAATATTTAAAAATAATAAAATACCCAATCCCCTCCACAATCTACCAACTCTTTTTTTCCTATTACACATCGTTTTAGATTCACTGATAAAATTTCGAAACAGTTCATTGCCCTAATCCATGATTATGTATGTATTGACCATCTGCCGAGTTTGATTTTTTCCATATCCACCAAATTTGTTATTAAAGAACTGCTTATCGATCGGTTTGTTCTGCACCGTCCGCTATACCTACTGATAGTCATTATGGTTATATTTATTTTTTATTTGCAACATTGCTTTTTAATTTTTTATACTTTATTCAATATTGTGAAAATTGCTGTTAGTTACACATTATGGTATTCGATTTCACTCAATAAAATATGTCCTGATTTGATACAAAAAAAAAAAACGTTGTAAAACAAACTGAGTTATACAGTAAATTTCTATTTAGTTTGTTTTTGGATAATGTATTTTGTGGATTTTAAATTGTTTTATTAGTTTATGACCATCAGAATTAGAATATTTTCACCACATAATTCATATTATATTCTATATATCCAAATAATTGAAACAATTAAATAATTAAATAATATATCCACTGCCAACGATAAGTGCATTATGCCCAAACAAAACGTTTACTTCAATATGGACGTTTCCAGAAAACTGACAAGCCACAGTCTCTCAAACCATATAGGTACAACCAATTATAACCCAAGCATATAATCCTGAACTTATTACTCAAATCAGTTAGATGATGGTATAATTAATCTAGTAACTATATTTTTATATTATCACTCTCGATATAGTTTATATAGGTACTAAAAAAAAAAAAAAAAACGTTCGTATATTTATATTTTTTTACTTTTGCGATATTTCGATATAAAAATATAATTGAAAGTTTTTATGACAAATCGCTCGGGTTTGGGGTCAGAACGAACCAATACAAATTGCAATAATATTTAAAATAACAACTAAATTTAAATGAAGTTTTATCACAACCGTTTTTTTTTTTTGTGTGTTTAGTCCACTACTGAAGAAATGATACGGTGTAGGAATTTTCGACGACAATCGTCTCAGTCAGATGAATGCTACCGTACGAGAGGCCGGAGAGATTCAAGTACGCAAATCATAGATGGTACTCTGGCCACCATGGCCGTGGAGACAAGCAGCACTTTGTTCGATTCCAGCACGCAAACCGGTAAGATTTTTCAATCGTTTCATGTAGTATTTAATATATTTTTAAGTAGTTTTTCCTCAAACCAGCACAACGGATTTCATTCAAACGGAGGTTATACCTAACCTAGGACGTACTTAGCCTTGAAAATAAACATACTATGCACGTGTAATATATACATAACCAGTTACAGAAGAATTTTTATTTTATAAAGCTGAAAGATACACTTTAGCAGTGCTATATAATACATTTCCGGGTTATTATAAATATAATCAACACATTTTAAACGAGTTTACTCTGTATTTAGGTCAACGAGAACTTTAAGGAAAAGTTTAATTTTAACCGAATAATAATATAACACGGTGAAAAAATGTATAGAGATTATTTATTTATTATTTTTTTTTTTGAACTTAATCACGTTGACTATGGCCATTAGCTGTTGTAGGGGATTATTAACTGTGGTTGGTACGGTAAGGTATTGTTACGGTTGTCACTGTAGGTAATGCAACACGTGTATGTGTTGCATGGTTTTTACTACTAAGAACTCGGGTGGTCACCCATCCGAGAGCTAATAGAAGCTGGCCTTACTTACTCTCAGTCGCATACTCGCATTGAGCGACTGGTAGCAGCCAACGCGCCAAGCCACATAATATAGATATTATTATATATTTTTATAAAACAGCTATAAACAATTTTTTTTATTGAAAACATTCCTAAATGAGTACCTAATTAAAACTATAAAAACTGTTCAAAATGCATTATACTAATAATAAATAACTTATCGATAAAAATATTTTGAATACCAATCTTTTTATTACTAATTTGTTATTTTTATAAATTGTATAACTACAAATACACATTTAATAACTATTTTATTATTTTAATAAGATTCAACATAATTTGCTACTTTTTTCATTCTTAAATAATTATCTTTTTATCATACATAATTCAATGAAATTAAGTTAACATCGGACTAGCAGTCATAAAAATTAAATTAAGACTAACGACCTTATAAAATATGAAAAAATTCAAGTATTTTTTATAGTTTAAGTAACTAGTGGAATATTTGTTTTTCACACATTTTTTTGTAGTCGACATTAATCTATATTCATACACTTTAAAAGTAAAAATACAAACATAAATGAGGAAAAACATACTTTCAGTTAATTTTCAAGTGACTTAGAATTGTGATTTTATTCTGTTATTTTGGTTACGTTTTAATTATTATTAGACCTAAAAAGTTTAAATGCAAAAAGTCGATTTAAATGAGTATTATGAACATGTATTATTTAAGTTTTAATTAAGTTTATTTACAAATAAAAATGTATTTTTCTGCAGAGAATGACGGCTCTTAAATCTATCAGAATTCACAGCAGAGAGTACGCGTGTTTAGATATTCCTAAGTAGTAAATTTAAATCTTATTTCTTAAATATATTCCCTCAATTTTACAAAAAGTTTCAAACTTTTGAAAATGAATTTTATCAAATAAGTTTAACATTATAAATTATGCTAACGTGTTTACGGTTGAACATATACATATTATATGTATATATATTAATACTTTGGGGCGTATGATTCTTCAACATGTTATGTATGTATATACATTATACATATATAATACTGTTATAGATACATCATATCCGTTTCAGTTTACCATACTTTTAAACTTGGTAGGTATCTACTTAATCAATACTCGCATTATACTAATGCTGTGAAAACAAAAACGAAATGATGGATACCTACCAGTCCATTATTTCGACTGCCGATAATGAGTTGAAGCATATACTTGTTACATTATTTACATATCTTTAAAATTATTTCGATAGTTATCTAGTTTATAATAAAATTCTAGTAACTCGGATTTTGGGTTGTTTATTTGACATTTGGCCGGTAGTTTTTTGCCGTAGCCGTACACATTATTTATTTCACGTACAAATATCATATTATAATAGTATTCTAACTTAATATTACAATAGATTCATACTACTTCCATAAAGAAGTTACATAATTATATTACCGGTGTAACCTGACATGTAATTGTAGTTTATTATGACAACTGTTACGCATGTTGTAATAGATGATAACAAACATTTAATTATGGAATGATTTTGAATTTAACGTTTTGACTTTGAGTCACTCTGATGACAGACCTATCAATATTCACCACGATGTACAGACGATTCCACATGCAGTCAAACTTGTATAAGAGCAATACATTGATAACCGGCTGGGGAACTACGTATAGGTACTACATGTTTCAAACAGAACGGTATCTAAAAAGTGGTTAGGGTTTTCTAAGACGACGAAAGTGTGAAATTAATAATGAATATTCGAGTAGCATTAATAGGTACCTATATAAAAGGATTGGATCGAATTACTTACCTACTGAACCTTCTGAAGGTATAATACGTGAGCTTCAAACATATATTACTTAACGTACCTATATATAATTCCGTTTGATGATCTGTTCGTTTTCTAGCAGAATCATTTCAGGTCCGCGAAGTTAGTGGGAGCATGAAAAGCACTAATTTCAGTTGTACTGATTATGTTTAGTACTCAGCTAGTGCTTTTGGGATGTACGAAAATTAAAATTAGTGCTCTCTCCACGCCACGGTTATCGCTACCATCGCCGTTTTTTCAAACATTTTCCCTGACTCCATAGCGACTTAAACTGTAATTATATTCGTTATAGTAAGTACATCAATCGCGTTGACGAAATAAACTGCAGCAGTAAAATAAGTATACTTATACTTTTGAACTATACATAATGCGTACGACTCCGTACTATTTATTATAAGGTTCAAGTGTCCCGCGTTGCTTCGTTTGTCCGGATAGTGTCTAGAAAAAAAAATATATAAGTAATATAGTTATAAATTCATCACTGAGATGAGGAATGACGAGCGCCGGAACCGACCCACCCCCACCCCCTCTCCTTCTATCTTTGAATCCTTTTAGCTATACGTTCTATATATGTATGTACTGTGTATAATATGTATATAGAATATAGATAATATATATATATTATATATATATATATATAATAGCCGAATCCTTCGTCGTCACGGGTTTACGATGGCTCGTGGAATTTTACGACCTAATGACAATAAAAACCACCTTCCCGAGCCGTACAATATATATACCAGCCATCTCGCGTTTTTAATCCGTTTAAGTGGTATCGAAAAATCGCGACAATCGGTTTGGAAACCGTAAAACGGCTACGACCGCCGCCGTTTTTATAAATTATTAAATAGTATAATATTATTATACGTTCCAATGATTAAAACGACTCGTCACAGTCACCACTGCAACGCCTGCAACCCACGGGTGAAAGATAACGTTTACTATTTATAGGTGTGAATAAATTTTTTTCGCTTAAATGTTTTTTTTTTGTTCTTTATTGTTGATAAAAATTAGTATACATCAAATCGACTCTTAAATATGTTATATTTTTTAACGGAAATTCGAATGATATGGTCGAATAATAATATAATATTATTATTGTTTCATTATACACATATCGCCCGTTCTCCGATACATTTCTTGTAACAACGACATTGCAACTATTATGATGCTATTCTGACCCTCCAAAAAATAGTTTTTTCGGGGAGAGTGATTTGAAAATTCAATAGGTACCTACATGTTTCGTTACATTATAAAGTTAAATAAGAGTAACCCATATGAATAAGATTTTGAGTGTATAATGTATATGTTATATATAATACTAATATAATAAGTTATATTATACGTTACACTAGGTGTTAATTGTTGCTAATATTTCGTAAGTATGCTTGTGCAACTTTTGAATTGGAATTCATATATGTTATGTAATATATTATGATTTATGACAAACCAAATTCATAGTTTTTGTTTCGTTCTCGAACTGTTAAGATTATTGTTTTGAAAAAAATAGAATATTTATACGTCTTATAAATAGTCATCTTAATATTTGTAGTAGGCGACTATATAATAATATAATCGTAACGTCATAAAATGCTTGTAAACGTGTTCGAGTTCTTCATATACCAACATAATATGTGTGAATGTGTAAGGAAATGTTTTAATCCGTCCACGGGGTCAGATAGTATACTGGCAGTGGGTAAACAACTCAGAGACGGGCAAACCCATTTTCACGTGAATGGATTAAATCGCACTCGTGCGAAGGTATTTATGCACGAGTGTGTGTGTGTGTTTGTGCGTGTGTGTGTGTGTGTGTGTGTGTGTGTCCAATACAATGTTATTGCAACACATAGGCAAAATGGCTGCGACGCAATAAATATCAGACAACCGGCGGTCGATTGTCGTATCCTCGAGCGAGATCAAATTCGCCGGTGAAACTTTGTTAATACCTTACCGACTCGCTACCTACCCATTTCGCCGTTCCACAGACGGTATCTACGTTGTAGATAATATAATATCTTTAGGTATATGTAGCTCTGGTGGGTATTATAATTCCATAGCTATAGATAACGGCGTGTAATCTAATATTATTTATAAATCTGCAAAAGTAGATGTACCCGAAGAACCGTTAAAAATTTATGAAACACCCGAAGAACCGTTAAAAATTTATGAAACAATATTATTGTACAGACAATGACATCATCAGGCATGACCCACGGGTTCAATACCTATAGGTATAGACGTATAGTGTTTATTGGGAATCGGATGTATAAGTATTTTTCAATAGTTATTGCGACGATTCCTATCATCGGTTCCTGTGATATATTTATTCGAGGTTAACTTGAGACAACGTAGTATCAATCGATTCGATTTATTCAATGTATTGTTTATGTAGAACAATTATACATAATATTATACGTCAAACCCTTTTTTCTCGTGGAATCGATCTGTACCACATTACAGCGACAGACTTATTCGTTTCCCGCTCAGAATTTTGTAAGTTTAGAAGATTTCTTGGACAAGCAATTGGCATATTATATACCTCTTTTCGGTTTTAATATTATTTTTAGTGTTTATGATATGTTATAGGTGAACGTTTTTCTCTATATTATATGGTAAGTTTTGAAAATTTCACTTCTTTGCGAACGTACGCTTAAAAAAAAAAACCACACATGAACCACCACGACCCTCGGCTTATGTTAAAACGAGTAAGTGATTTGCAATCGT